ACACAAAAAAGGGAAAGGCCCCCGCTCGCGGCCTCCTCGAGATTTGCTCGCAGACGAGACTCCCGCTCGATACCTCCCGTGGAGGAGGAGGAGGAGGAGGAGGAGGAGGAGGAGGAGGAGGAGGAGGAGGAGGAGGAGTCGGAGGAGGGAGGAGGAGGGAGGAGGAGGGAGGAGGAGGAGGAGGAGGAGGAGGAGGAGGAGGAGGAGGAGGAGGAGGAGGTCCTCGGAGCATGGAGGGGGGGAGGCGCCTGCCGGAGCGTGCCGCGCCACTCGCACACCGGCGAGGCTTCCTCTCGAGCCTCCCTCGGGCGTCCGGCCCCCCACGCGTCACCAGGCCTGGCCCTGCGTGGCTGCCCGGCGGCCGCCTCGGATCCGAACACGGAGACGGGGACCCCACAGGGACGGGCTCCCGCTCGAGAGTCCCTTGCGGTTTGCTCACACACCAGTCTTCCGCTCGAGGCTTACGCAACGTGAGGTGGCAAAGATGCGAGTGAGTGTGCGCGATGATGATGATGTTGCTGATGATGATGATGATGATGATGCTGCTACTGATGACGATGATGCTGATGATGCTGATAATGATGATGACGATGATGATGGTGATGATAATGATGATGATGATGATGATGATGATGATGATGATGATGATGATGATGATGATCATGATGATCATGATGATCATGAGGAGGAGGATGAAGATGAGACTGATACTGATAATGATAAGAATGGTCATTATGCTGGTGCTGCTGGTGCTATGGCGATGGTGATGATGCTGCTGCTGATGGCGATGATGATGCTGATGATGATGATGATGATGATGATGATGATGATCATGAGGAGGAGGATGAAGATGAGACTGATACTGATAATGATAAGAATGGTCATTATGCTGGTGCTGCTGGTGCTATGGCGATGGTGATGATGCTGCTGCTGATGGCGATGATGATGCTGATGATGATGATGATGATGATGATGATGATGATGATGATGATGATGATGATAATGAAGGTGGCGGTGATGATGATGGTGGTGGGAGGGCGATGGGGGGAGGAAGGGCGGGGGGCAGGTTCCTTATTCTACGCGGGTTGTGATGAGGAGAACAAGAAGTTTGTTGTTGTTGTTGTTGTTGTTGTTGTTGTTGTTGTTGTTGTTGTTAGGAAACAGACCCTCACTCAGGATGCGGGGAACTCCGAACAGGGTATTCAAAAAAGCAAGAGAGAGAGAGAGAGAGAAACAGAGAGAGAGAGAGAGAGAGACAACGAGGCTCACGGGACGATTTCCGCTCCGGATTTGAGCATGGAGGTGGGGACCCCATTGAGAGGGGCTCCCGCTCGAGACTCCCTCGTGGTTAACTTACAGGCGAGTGAGCGCCCGAGACTTTTTCCAGTCTGCCCACCAAACATGTGTTATGACATAGTCTCCTGGTGGCCAACCCGGAGTCGCACATGGATGTGGGGAAGCGCCACAGGGAAGTGTTCTTGCTCGGGACTGCCTATCGATCCGCCCACAGACGATGCTCCCGCCCGAGACTTGCTCAAGGCGAGTTGGTGAGTGTGTGCGTGAGCGTGTGCGGTAGTGATGATACTGATGATGATAATGATGATGATGATAATGATGATGTTGATGATGATGATGATGCTGATGATGATGATGGTTATGATGATTATGGTGATGGTGATGTTGATGGTAATGGTGATGATGATGTTGATGACGATGATGATGATGATGATGATGCTGATGATGCTGATGGAGATTATGATGCTGATGATGATGATGCTGATGATGATGATGATGCTGAGGATGATGATGATGATGATGATGATGATGATGATGATGATGATGATGATGATGATGATGGTGGTGGGAGGGCGCTGAGAGGAGGAAAGGTGGGGGGTGCGGTTCTCTCTCTCTCTCTCTCTCTCCTGCGCGGGGTGCCCTGAGAAAGCAATAGCCCAACTCAGGGTGCGGGGGGCAAGGCCCCCACGGAGGATGTCGGGAGCAAGACCCCACCCAAGGAGGTGGGGAGCAAGACCCCAAGCTGCCACGAAGGACCAAAGTTAAGTCGGGCGTGTCCCCCTACAGGCGAATGTCGGACGAAAAATAAAACATACTCCAAGAATGCTCCAAAATGGAGAAAAATACCCAAACAATAGTCCCCAGACTATTTGTTGACTATTCTTGAATACTCCCCCTGTAGAGGGACACGCCCGACTGAAGACCAAAGGGACTCAAGGGATGATGGCCGCCTCGGGTTCGGGCAGGGAGGGGGGGGCCCCAGTGCGGAGGGGCTCTTGCTCGAAGCGCCCTCACGGCCCAGTCGCAGACGAAGGGCCGTCCGTGCCAGCATGTCGGCCTGCTCGGGAAGGAGGCTCCTGCTAGAGTTACGAGTCGGGCATGTCCCTCTACAGGAGGAATACCCACAAGTAGTAACAGAATCGTCTGGGAACGATTCTTCTACTATTTTTGAATCTTTGTTGGGTATGTTTCTGCTCTTTCTGCATTCTCCTACAAAATCCGCCTGTAGGAGGACATGCCCGACCCAACGCTAGAGACTTCCTCTAGATTCGTTGAGTGCGTCGCGCGGAAGTCTCGAGCGGGAGCCCTTTTCCCTCTGGGGTTTTCGCCTCACGTTGGCAATCTGAGGCGGCCATCGAGACACTGGGAGCCTGGATACCGAAGCAGTCCAGAGTGCTAGCCTCGTTCCTGAGCACACTGAATGGGTGTCTCTGGCGCTCGCCTGTAAGTGAATCGTGAGGAAAGCTCGAGCGGAAGTCCCTGCATATGTGCCCCCCGCTTCCTGTCATTACTGCGAGGCGGCCATCCTGATTACCTGTAAAAGCAGAGTCTGAATCTGGAGAGACTCTTGAGCGGGAGCCTTTGTCCTTTGCCGGGCGTCCTTTGTCATCCGAGGCGGGCATCCTCAACCAAGCATGTAGAGGACTGACGGATACCAGACAGTAGCAGAGCCCTTGTAGTCCCAAGGACGACGATGATGATTACCCCCACATAGTTTGCACGATTATCATGCGGGGGGTCTTACCGTCGGAGTAGAATTTGTTGGTCCTCCAGAGACTTCGTGGAAGACCCCCGGGGACTTCCGGAGATGGGGCCTCCTTAGGGCCTCGCGTCGCCACGGCTGGATTCACGCTCGAGGTCCTGGCCAGAGATCGCGCCGCATAGCCTGTGGGAAAAGCACACACGCACACCGTTGGAAACAAAAACACACAAAAAACAAAAACTCGGTGGGCAAACAAACACAGTGTGTGTGTTTTCCCACAGTGAGTGTGTGTGTGTGTGTGTGTGCGTGTGTGTGTGTGTGTGTGTTCCCCACCAACACAGTCACATAGATTATACCACTACCTGGGCCAGGCGTGGCGCGCTGGACCGTCGTTCTGGACTTCTTCGGCACTGGTGGGCTCCCGTGGGAGCCTACTGACCGTGCGCCTTCTCGCATTTCGAGGTGGTGTGGTTGTGATCAGTGTGGAGCAAAGCTTGCACCTCACAGTCTACACCACGTAGTTTATTCCTCGTAGCTTGCCCCGCGTACCTTGCACCACGTAGCGCACACCACATAGCTTACACCACATTGCCACCGAACTTGTCATAGTGTGTCTCGCAATGCATGTTGCCCAGACGCCAGATTTCTGAGGCACGGCCTTGCCCACCTGGTCTGAGCCTAGAGCCATACGGTGCCGTTAGCGGTGGGCGCATCGTATCGCATCGTAACGTTATCACATACAGTGTACCACATAGCTTGCACACCTACAGTGCATACGTTGCTGTTTGGGGTTCGCGCTGGCAAACCTGTTAGTTGTGGTGTGTCGGGCCTCCATGGCCCTCGTCGCCACGTATGTATTCGAATTGAGATCCATGTCAGAATGCGTTCTAGGATCGGTCTTGGTGCCGATCTTGATGGGGGGCAGAGTGGACAGTCTTGTGGGGCATTGAACGCGAGCGCTCTCGCTCATTGCGGGCTCCCGCAGAGCCTCATCGCGTGCGGGTTGCGCTTGGCTGCGGTGCCTTGCAGCTGTTGACACTATGTTCTGAAGCCAGCCGCAACGAGACAGCATTCTGCTCGGGTCCCCTGAAGTATGTCAGCGCAGAGAGTATTTGAGTTATGTGAGACCTCGCTGCTGCGGTGGACATTCAGGCAGGTGCCGCTTGGGGTCTTCGGAGGCGTCTTGGCGCCCCTCGGGAGCTCCCGTGATTTCCTGAGGCTTTTTCTGTGGCGGGGGGCGCCTCGTTCCGTGCGGAGGCCGTGTTCGGCGAGGGCGCAGTGAGCCCTGGGCCTGCCAGGGGCCCCTGTGCGCCCGCAGGCCGTCCCTGGCCGCCTGCGAGCCAGGAGTCTCTTGGAAACTTTCGACGTCGTCGACAGCACTGCAGCAGGAGCTCGACCACAAGAGACTTCCCACAAGAAGCCCAGCCCCGAGACCCCGAGACCCCTGGACGTCCATGGGTTTTTGGTCGTGGGAGCCGCATGCTCCCCATGCAAGAAACCGTCGAAGCCCAAGACACCCAGGCCACCCTGGAGGCAGGCAGGGTGCGTTTTTTTGTTGGCATGGGCTTCCACCGCGGGGACCCACCCGACAACGCGCGAACGCCTGCGACCTCTCGCAGCCCCCGTGGTTCTCCCTGCGGCCCGCCGGGGGCCCCACCCCCTGCGGCCGGCTCCCTCCTTCCACGCCACTCTCTCTCTCTCTCTCTTTCTATCCCCCCCTCTTGTTCTCTCCCTCCTCCTCCCCCTTGTCCCCTCCCCCATTCCCCTGCCTCCTCCCCTCCCCATCCCTCCCCATCCCCTCCCTTCCTCACCTCTCCCCTCCCCTCTCCGCCGGGGGCCTTCCGGGCCACCGGAAACCCTTGGACATGCGGCGAGGCGACAGCGGCGGCGGCCGCCACGACGCCGGCGGCCATGGCGGCGGCAGCCGCGGCGACGGCGGCGGCGACGGCGCCGGCGAGGCACGACGACGACGAAGGGCCCCGCGGAGCCTCCTGCGGCCGCCTTGGCTCCAGCGCCGGCCTTCCCCTGCGCTGCAGAGGGGGCGCCGTGTGCGCAGCAGCGCTCCCGTCTGCGCGCCGCGCGCGGGGGCCCCGGCACCGCCCATGGAGGACAGATCGATCGATCCTCCAGCGATCGGGGATCCATCGATGCACGGTCGAGCTCTGGGGAGTGATCCTCCAGATATTCTTTTGCAAGCCGCCCCCCCACGCCCCAGTCGGAGTCCACCGCCCAGGGCCACCTGCATTGTACACCTTAGGCGATGCTTAAGAAAACTTTTTTTTTTGGCCAGAGTCTTGATTATTCTTAATGTTTCAATGTAAATCCTAAGATTTGACTGGAAACTTTGGGTTTTTACTCAAATTCTGAGACTATGAATTTCTTAACCCATGATTTCTTAAGCATTTCGCAGGGTGTACCAAGGACCACGGTCCAGGGATGTAATCTTGCATGCTAGACCCACGACTACGGTAGGTTCGTGTCGTGTCGACCGGCGGGGACCCTGCGAGCGGCGTGCAACGTTGAACGCCGCGGGCGGCCCAGAATCGTTCGATGTGGAACGATTTGGACGTTTCGGAAACGGCCGATCGCTCAAGGTTGAAGGATCCCCGCGGTGTCAGAAACCCACGCCGAAGCCGGCAGGACACGAACTTGGCGCAGCACCCTCTCCCGCCCCCCCTGCAAATTCTTCGATCGGAATGAGGGTCTGTGGACCGCTTGCGGCCTTCCTGGCTTCCTTGGCCGCCTAAGGCCTCCAAGAACCTTCAGAGGCCGTCGGGGGTCGTCGTCGTCGTCGTCGTCGTCGTCGTCGTCGTCGTCGTCGTTGCCGTCGTTGCCGTCGTCCTCGTCGTCGCCGTGCGTTGTCGTCGTCGTCGTCGCTGTCGTCGTCGTCGTCGTCGTCGTCGTCGTCGTCGTCGTCGGCCGCTGCATCATCGACATCGTGGTCATCGACGTCGCCTGGAGGTTCTTGCTCGAGCAAACAGGTCCCCAACTACTCGATCCAGCAGCTCGATCGTCGGCCGACGACGGCGACGGCGACGGTTGCAGTGCAACCGACAACCACGACGACGGCCACGACAAGGACAGTGACCATTGCGACGACCACGACCAAGACGTCACCACGACCACGATCACGGCAACGACGTCGACACCGTCCAGGACGACGATCACGACCCATCCGACGATCCCTGCGACGGCCCTCGGCGCCCAGCCCTCGGCGGCCGTCGGCGGGCGCAGCCTCGCCGAGAGGAGCCCGGCGCCGTCCCGCTCGGGCAGCTGCTCGCGGCAGCCCTCGCCGCGCACGAGCGCGCGGACGCCGCGAGCAGGCCCCGCGCGCCCTCCGCCGATCAGCCGCCCTGCATCGCCCGGGGAGGACGCCTGGCGACTGCGACGACCGACGAGAGGCCGATGGGATCCCCTGACGGCGACGGCGACGGCGGCTGCCAATCACGACGACGACGGCGGCGACGTCGACGGCGATGACGACGGCGACGACGTCTGGCGACGACGCCGACGACGACGACGCCCGACGCCCGACGCCCGACGCCCGACGAACGACGACGACGACGACGCCCGGCGACCGACGACCGACGACCGACGACCGACGGTCGACGACCGGCAATGACGGCGACGACGACAACGACGACAAACGTCGACGGCGACGGCCGCCCCGCCGCCGCCGTTGCCGTCGATAGATCGAGGATTCGAGGATGGTGTTCGAGGAGCAAGGTCTGTCGCCCTTTCCGGGAGCCTCTGGGGAAAGTTCTCGTCGGTATTGCTGGCTCGGCGGGGTTTCTTCGAATTGCAACACATAATGAAGCTCACGATGGATCCAGGGTTTTTATTTAGACCTCCTATGCCGCCGCCGTCGCTGTCGATCCAGCGACGACGGCTCCCGACGGCAACTGCGGTGGCGGCGGTGGGTGGTGGCGGCGGTGGTGACGACGACCGCAGTTTGGACGAGCGACGACGTCATCGGTCGATCGATGTTCGAGGATCGGGGCTCGAGGTTTTGTGCGAGCGTTGACGTTCTGAGGCCTGAGGATCGAGGCCCTCGGCGCGGACCGAACCCCAAGGCTCGTGAGGTTTTCGAGGTGCTCGAGGCTTCTGGCGATCCTTCTCGAGGACCGCCGCGCTCGAGGGCCGAGGCCCGAGGATTGACGTCGTGGCTCTCGTCCGACGCAAGCGGCCGGCCCGGCAGGGGCGTTGCCTCAGAGCTTGCCTCTGCGCGGGAGCACCTGGCGGAGATCTCTCCCTGCGGGGGGGCCGCCGCCGTCGCCGTCGCCGTCGCCGCCGACGTCGCCGTTTTCGCCGTTTTGGCCAGCGTCGTGGCCGTCGCCGTCGTGGTCGCCGTCGTGGTCGTGGCCGTCGCGGTCGTCGCTCCAGTAATCGTCGTGGTCGTCACCGTCGGCATGGCTTCGTCGTCGCCGTGGTCGACGCCGACGGCGTCGCCGCCTTCGCTGCCGTCGCCGTCGCCGTCGCCGTCGCCGTCGCCGTCGCCGTCGCCGTCGCCGTCGTCGTCGTCGTCGTCGTCGTCGTCCCTCGGATTGGATTTTCGGTCCAGGCCGCTGTCTGATTACCCAGCAGCGCGGAAATGGTACCCAGAGGTCGAGTCTGGGAAGAAACGCCAGGATCGAATAAACCACGTAACCACGTTCTCGGAGATCTGGGTCCGCCTGACCGTTCTCGCTCAAAGCAACTTCCCAGGCGCCTTCGGTTGCCAACTCGGTTGATTAGTCGATCAGCGCCCAGACGTTGCCTCCAGGAGACACGCGTAGGCTTAAGTCGGGCGTGTCCCTCTACAGGGAGAATATTCAAAAATAGTCAAAAATAGTCTGTTGACTATTTGGGGAGTATTTTCTGACCATTTGGGGGCATTTTTGGAGTATTTCTTAGTTTTCGTCCAAAATTCGCCTGTAGGGGGGCACGCCCGACTTACGCGTAGGCCGAAAACCGTCAAGATCCTCCTTCTCCGATCTTCCTCGTTCTCCTCATTCTCCTCCCTCTTCCTGGGGGAGGAGGGCAGTTTCAATGCACTGCGGCACCTCCTTGGCTTCGGGTGAAAGGGTCGGCGGCGATCTCGGGGGGAAGTGAGAAGGCTCGAAAGCCCCCTGGCCTTCCGAGAAGTTCTCGAAGCCTGCCCCGAAGGCACAGACCACTTCTCGGATGGCCAGAGCGCTTCTGAGAAGCCCCGTCGCCCTCTGAGAGGACCTTCTCCTTCTCACTTCCCCTCCTCGCTCGCACACACACACATATATATATATAGATAGATAGATATGTGTGTACATATACATAGATATATGTTCCTTCTCGAATATTCTTTACCGGGAAACTCCGGGTCCTCCCCCCTCCCCCCGATTAATTCCACCACGGCCGCCGAAAATTCCGATTTGCCGTTCCTGGGCCCCCTTCTCGCGCTTCGCCCGCCCAGGACAATCCCATATTGCTTCCAGGCCGATTCCGCGCGGCACCGACGTGGCCCCGGATGGCTGAAGAGCGCATTCCGAGGGTCTCTCGACGGCCCACCACCGCTCCCGACGATTTCCACGAGCCCTACGGGCCTCACGAGCCCTCCTAACCCCGCGGGCCCTGCGAGCCCTGCGAGCCAGATGATCACGGGCTCTACGAGCCCTGCGAGGCCTACGAGCCCTACGGGCCTACGAGCCCTGCGAGGCCTACGAGCCCTACGGGCCTACGAGCCCTGCAAGCCCTACGAGCCCCACGGGCCCACGAGCTCTACGAGCCCTACGGGCATGCGACCCCTACGAGCCCTACGGACATACGAGCCTACGAGCCCCACAGACCTATAAACCCTACGAGCCCGACGGGCCCCCGAGCCCTACGAGCCCTGCGAGCCTTACGGGCCTACGAGCCCTACGGGCATACGAGCCCCACGAGCCCCACGGGCATATGAGCCCTACGAGCCCCAGGGGCCTACGAGCCATACGAGCCCAACGCCCCCCTTGCGCCCCAAGAGCCCATCACCCCTATATGCCCCATCTGTCCTACGAGCCCTATGCGCCGACGAACCCCGCGAGCCCTACAAGTCCGGTGAGCCCTGCAACCCCGTAAGTCCCACGCGCACTGCGAAGCCAGTGAGCCCCATGACCCCTCTGAACCTCACGAGGGTACGCGCACCACGAGCCCTGCGTGCCCAGTGAAGTCTGCGACCCCCCCAGCGGCCCCACGAGCCCACTTGCCCTCAGCCCTCATGGGCCCTGTGAGCCCCAGGAGCCCTACAAGCACTACGACACCCACGAGCTCACGCTTCATGAGCCCCATGACTTCCGTGAGCCGCGCCAGCGATAAATCACTATAACCCTTGAAGCACCGCGAGCCCTGCGAGCCCCCATGAGCCCTACGACCCATAGAAGGCCAAACAAGCCCCGCAGGTGGTCGCAGCGAGCTTGCCAGGCGCCATGCGACCAAGATGTTTCTCGGCGACGCGCAGCGGACCGGGATACATCTTGTGTATATATTTATATATACATGTATACGTTTACATACATACATATATATATATATATATATATATATGTATACATAGAGATTTACATGCATACGTTTACATCTACATGTAACGTATGATCTTTTTGATAAATACATATAGATTGAAAACACCCCCCCTCGCTCGCCGCCGATCTGTTTCGGGTGCACGGGTCACCAGACCGCGGGCGAGCGAAGGAAGGCTGCGGGGCCGGCGGCCCGCAGGGCCTGCGGCCGCCCGAGGGGACGCTTTCGGCCCCGGCCCTGCGGCCCGGGCGACAGAGCTGCCGCAGCAGAGGCGCTCGCGTGCCGCAGCGGTCGGGGCACGTGCTGCCGCAGGTGCGGGTGCGATCGTGTAACCGATTCCTATCCCCATCCCCATCCACGTCTCGAACCCCACCGTCTCACCACCTCGGTTGGGGATCTGCCCCTCGAGACCCGAAGAGAGCAGCCGATGTCCCCATCCAGGGGGTGAACTCGGTCAGTGGGGCCCAGCCCACGCTGAAAGGGATGGGGATCGGTCAAACGATGCTCATGGCTGCGCCTTCCGGGCTCGAGTGAGTCGAAGAAGAACAACGCTGTCAGCATCAACCTTCGGAGCTCCGCGCGGAGCTCCCCGATTCGTCCCAGTCCCCCTTAAGGCAGCGCCGTCGCCGCCCCTGGCGCGCCCCGCGCGCCAGGGGCGGGGACCAGCGCTGGCGGCAGCGCGGGCGGGGCCCCCCTGCCCACGCCAGGCTTGCGCGGCGCAGGGCGGCCCCCCCAGGACAGTCGCGCGCGGCGCGGCGCGCGGTCTCTTGGCTCTGCAGAGCCTGCGCGCCATGGCGCAGGGGGACCAGGGCGGGGCGCTGCGCAGGCGCCGCCGCCTCGGGACGTTCCCGCAGCCGCGCGCACGCACGCATGCATTTTCACTTGCAGTCGGACCGAGGTGTGAGATCGAGGCCGGTTCGGGGAGGCTGCACCCTGCGATGCTTCGTGCCTGCTGGATGCTCCCTGTGCATCCTGGGTGGGGAGGGTGCTCGTGGGTGTCCTCCGAGTTTTTGCTGGCTGACGGAGGGTCTCGTGTTCTTGAAGGGATCGGCGGCGAGCGAGGGGGGGAGAATGAGAAGGAGAATGAGATGAGAAGGCCTTCGAAACCTTCTCAGAAGGTTTCGAAGTCCCCCGGGGCTTCTGAGAAGTTTTCCAAGCCTGCCCCGAGGACAGAACAAAATGCTCAGAAGGCCCGAGGGCTTCTGAGGAGTCCCGCGGCCTTTGAGAGGGCCTTCTCCTCCTCACTCGCCCTCTTTGCTCGCCGCCGAGAGGATGGTTCAGTGCCGATCCAAGAACTCCGCGGGGACCTCTGTCAAGGGTGGAAAAACCACCCCGACCCCGACAATTCGCGTTTACTAGACAGCCCTGGGCGTCCACTGAACAGCCCTGCCCTGCTCGATTCCTTCCAGGGGGGCGTTTACTAAACGGCTTCGTTTGTCGGGGTGCTTATTATGGGGGTGGATTTTCTGCTCTCTACTCTGGAAGCTGACTGTCTGTTGTGCCTCTCTTGCGGGGCGCGCGCTCTGCAGCGCGGTGCCGGCCCTGGACCGCCTGGGCCCGCCGCGGGGCAGGCGTGCGCTTGGCGCAGCAACCATTCGAGCAGGGGATCAGCTACAGAATTCGTTGGTCCGTCCGTCGAGTCGACGAAACACGCGTGTGATGTCTGTAGATATGCGGGCATTCTAGTGTCAGTTTGTAGATTCGACGAGAAAACGAATTCTGGAGTAAATCGGTGTTGTAGTCGATCTCCTACCCGAACCGTGGCACCACGTGCAGGGCTTCCCCATCCCTGGGCGACCGAAGCCTCAAAGGTGCCTTGAGCAAAAGGCTCGGCAACGCCAACTTCAAACCAGCCAGCAAACCTAGCAGCTGCAACAGCATGCGCAGGAGGATTATCATCCTCCTCTTCTTCCTGCTCCTACTCCACCCTCCTCTTCCCCCTCGTTTCCCTCATCCTATTCCTCCTACTCCTCTTCCTTTTATCCTATTCCTTGTCCTCCTCCTCCTCCTCCTCCTCATCCTCCGCCTCCTCCCCGTCGTCTTCCCCCGCCTCCTACCATCTTCAATCTGGACAGGATAGCCTTGGAGAGAGGATTCTCGACAAGGAGGCCAGGATTGAGAAGGGCGGTTGAAAAGGTCCTCGGATGCGAAGTTTGGAGGCCTCCGGAGGTCATCGGAAGCCTCTGGCGGCTGCAGGAGATCCAGAAGGGATGCACAAACTTCGAGCATGTCTCAACCCTCCTCTTCAGCATTCCTCGGTCGGCCTCCAGAGTAAGGAGATTTGTCGGTCTGTCGGACTCGGCATCGCAGCAGTCTGCGCGCCGTCTTGCTGAAGGCTCTCACACCGAGAGCCTGTTTTCGAAAGCCACTTGCCAGCCTCTCCAGCGAAGGGAAGCTCGGCCCAGACGGCCCACCGCATGCAAACTGTAGAGCGGCGAACAGCGCTAAACGCAAAGAGGAGTGGTAAAAAAGGGACGGAGGGATAACATTCCTATGAGGAGGGAAGTGAATGGCGGAGCCATAAGGAAACCACAGTCAAAACAATAGGAATGCGTTTTGAGTTCACGAAGTTTGTGACACTACCAAAACATGGGATAGTACCAGAAAAACGACAATCAAAGGTTGTTGGCTTACATACGCACTTTTGGCAGGCTTTCCCGCCCAGCGCTGGGATCATTGGTTGTACTATGGAAGTCCGGTTTCCTGGATGTTGCTTCACGACATCTGTGACACTGCCAGAAAATTCCCCCGAACAAGGAGGGAGGGAGGAGAGGGAGGAGGGAGGAGAGGGGAGGAGGGAGGGAGGAGATAGGAGGGAGGGAGGAGAGGAGGGAGGAGAGGAGGGAGGAGGGAGGAGAGGAGAGCAGGGAGGAGAGGAGGGAGGGAGGGAGGAGGGAGGAGAGGAGAGGAGGGAGAGAGGGAGGGAGGAGAGGAGGGAGGAGAGGAGGGAGGCAGGGAGGAGGGAGGAGAGGAGGGAGGGAGGAGGGAGGGATAGGGAGCTGTGCCTCCTCTCCCCAGGAGCTCGAGGACCGGCTCCCGGGCAGGCTCGTGGCTTCGGAGGCGGGCTTCGGCGCCGGTGCCGCGAGCGCCGACACCTACAAGTTCGAGGCGGCGGGGGCGCAGACGAGGACAGCGGCTCAAGCAGTGGCGAAGCGTCCTGGCTCGCCCAAGTAGGCCCGCCAGAGCAGGGTCGAAGGCCCTTTGTTGGTCTGCACGAGATGTTCTCAGAGCATATCCGGCTGAGACCGTCTTGTGTTGACACATCGGGCTTGCGTTCTAAGAACATTCTTTTTGGGGTATTAGAAGATATGTGGGTGCTGAAAACACATGTCGTGGTTCGCCTATTAGGAATGCCCAGACGGTCGGCCCCTGCTCAAACGACGACGACGACGGCGGCGACGACGACGACGACGATGACGACGACGACAACGACGGCGACGACGGCGACGGCGACGACGGACGACGACGACGACGACAACGACGACGACGACTAGGCGGCGGCGGTGTTTTTCACGAAAGGCTGATCAGTAAGTCGACCCTGCCAAATCAAGGGTACCCTCGTGTCCTGTGTTTCGCGACCTGTGCCTTTTGCATTCCTATGGCAGTGTGGCCCTCTGAAGGGTCTTGAGTCCTCTCGCGTGTCCTCTTTAATCAGCTTCGACTGTTCATATGGACATGCTTTTGGCTTATTGTGATGATCGTATGTCTTATTCCTGATGCTGTTACGGGCCTGAGGCCGATTCTGGACCTCATTATTTCTCTGGAGGGCCCGATCGGGCTCACGCTCAACATGAACAAAATGTGTCCTCCTTGGTTGGTGGTGATACAACGGTGGATTATATTTGCAACCTGGTGCTCCACCCTCTCGCCAGCTCATTGTTGCCCATAAGCGTTGTGCGCAGCTGTTGAGTAACGGTCCTTCGAACGCTATTCGCGAACTCTTGGAAGGATTTGCATTGTGTGGGGGGAGGATAGGTATCAAGCACCTTCCGCACGTCAGTCTTGCTGCACGCGCCCGGTGTGCAACGCACTGCCCTTATTTTCGTTCAGAGTTTGGCAAGCTCCGCGCCTTTATGCAATCCGATGAGTGCTGTACTGCGCGACGGTTCCGTGGGTGGTGGAATGGATGTATCTTATATCATATGTCGGCGGCTCTCGGAAATCTGATCCTTGTTATCCTTGATCTACCACTGACGGTACTGCGTAACGCTGTTCAACGTAAGTTGTTTGCATACTTCTCTCGCATGTGTCGTCGTCCTGGGCGGTCTGTCATGGAAGTGTTGACAGCCAGACTCGAGAAGTGGCTCCCTGAGGTTGCCCCTGGGGTCCTTCCTAACATGCTTTGGAGGCTGCAGAGAGTCAGCCGTGCCACCAGCCCGTATCTTGCTGTGAACCAGGTTCGGATTGCCTGTAGAGGGCTGTGTACGTCAGCTCGTTTCAGGTTTGCGGCGAGGCGCTGTCTTTCTGGCTGCAGTGGTTTTGGGGATAAGGATTGCTTACGGCACTACTCTGCGTGTCCACGTCCACGGATGCGTGAGATGTTGGAGCCCTGGGCCGAAGTGAGCTTCCTGACCATGGGCATGATTGGTTTTCTGACTTCCTCGTTTTGACGCATCGCCTCAGCCCCGAAGCTGACATTCGCTTCGCTAGTGTGTGTGTGTGTGTGTGTGTGTGTGTGACGCGTTCTACTTTCTGCACAATGCCTGGAGGCTTGGTGCGACGTTGCAGCCGAAGCAGTTGTTTGAAGCTCGGATCCGAGTTCTATGCCGTAAGCACCCTGCGGTGCAAGCCGCGTGGAATCAGGGCCCTGACTCGAGCTGATGATGTTGTTTCCTCTTCTTTATTGTGGTTCACCTGCGGCTCACCTGCTGGGGGCACAGCCTGTTGGGCTGCGGGGCAGATCTCGATGAACTGCTGCAGGCACGGCCTCCGCCGCCTTACCGTCAGGAGCCTTCGACAGCATGCGCTCGCAACAAAAAACAGCTTCGACTGCAGGGGCTTTTGCTTCTCGTCGTTCATGTGACTGGTTGGTACAGTCAACCCGCAGAGTAAGGATGCGCGGTAAGGATGCAAGGCCCTTGGACGCCCATTTCGAAGCGCTTCGAGCGGGGCGCGGCCAACGAAAGTGTCCAAGGATGGACCTTTGGAAGCAAGGACGCAAGGGTACCCCTTGGAGGGATGCCGCCTATCCTTGCTCTGCGGGTCGACCGTACTCCTCTTCTCAAGCCGGGAGGTGGAGGAGGAGGAGGAGGTGGAGGAGGTGGAGGAGGAGGAGGAGGAGGTGGAGGAGGATGAGGAGAAGGAGGAGGAGGAGGAGGAGGAGGAGGGGGGGGAGGAGGAGGAGGAGGAGGAGGAGGAGGAGGAGGAGGAGGAGGAGGAGGAGGAGGAGGGGGGGGGAGGAGGAGGAGGAGGAGGAGGAGGAGGAGGAGGAGGAGGAGGAGGAGGAGGAGGAGGAGGAGGAGGAGAGGAGGAGGAGGAGGAGGAGGAGGAGGAGGAGGAGGAGGAGGAGGTGGAGGAGGAGGAGGAGGGGGGGGGGGGTAATGCCGAGGCTGCGCCGCGTTGCCGCCCTTGCCGCTCGCGGGCGCCCCGTGCGCCGGGGGAGGGGGCGGGGGGGGCACACGCCGAGCCTGCGCCGCGCTGCCGCCCGCGCCCCGTGCGCCACAGCTTGCGCCCCGTTGCGGCCTCGTGGGCGCCACGTGGGCGCCACGCTGTCGCCGTCGTCGTCGTCGTCGTCGGCGTCGTCGTCGTCGTCGTCGTCGTTGTCGTATTTGTCGTCGCCGTCGTCGTCGTCGTCGTCGTCGTCGTCGTCGTCGTCGTCGTCGTCGTCGTCGTATTTGTTGTCGTCGGCGTCGGCGTCGTCGTCGTCGTCGTCGTCGTCGTCGTCGTCGGCGTCGGCGTCGGCGTCGGCGTCGGCGTCGGCGTCGGCGTCGGCGTCGGCGTCGTCGTCGTCGTATCTGTTGTCGTCGGCGTCGGCGTCGGCGGCGTCGTCGTTGTCGTCGTCGTCGTCGTCGTCGTCGTCGTCCCCTTTACCCTCTGTCGCACGCTCGCCGCTCACTGGGCCCCGCGAGGTGCAGGACAGGTGTGGGGGCGCGCCGAGGCTGCCCCGCGCGCGTGGGCGCCCGGGGCGCGCCCCCTGCGCGGAGCCTCCTGCAGGTGGAGCTCTCGCCGCACACCGCCTGCACGACGGGAGGCTTGCACCGCACTCGCGCCTACATCGAGCAGCCTCCTCCTCCTCCTCCTCCTCCTCCTCCTCCTCCGCTTTCCTCTTCCTCCTCCTCATCTTCCTCCTCCTACCTCCTCATGGCTCACACCGCCCGGCCTGCGCGACGTAGCCTGCACCTCCTGGCTCACACACGCAGGCGCTGCCACCTCCTCGGGCTAGCGCCGCACGGCTTCCGTGGCCCTCCGCTCACGCCATACAGCTTCCATGGCACCCCCGCGTGCCCGAGAAAGGGCCGCCGCCCGCCGCGCCCCAGGTGACCCCGGCCGCCTCGGCCAGGGCGGCGCCGCCGCGCGGCCACGCCGACCACCCAGGCGGGCGGAGCCCAGCGGCGTCGGCGCCGAGGGAGGAGAGGGTCGGCGGCGAGCGAGGGGGGGCATATGGGGGCATGTCGACACTGTGCGAGCGGGGCGCGGCCAGGGAAAGCGCCCAAGGATGGGCCGAAGGGCAAGGATGCAAGGGTAACCCTGGAAAGTTGCTCATCCTTACTATGCGGGTTGACTGCATCGGCGGCGAACCCAGGGGGAAGTGGGAAAGAGAAGGCCTTCTCGGAAGGCTCGGAAGTCCTCCCGGCCTTTGAGAGGTGTTCTAAGCCTCCCCCGAAGACACGAACAGCCTCCCAGAAGCGCGACGAGGGCTTCTGAGAAGTCCCGCCGCCTTCTGAGAAGGCCTTCTCCTTCCCACTTTCCCCCCTCGCTCGCCGCCGAGAGGGGAGGAGGAGGAGGAACAGGAGCTGGGGTTCCCGGCTTGTTCATCCTCGCTCACTCACAGATGGAGAGCGGGGTTTGGCAGGCCAGCGCCTCATCATCGCATATGATATGATATGATATGAGATGATATGGTATGACGTGATATGCCATTATATGATATGACATGACATGGTCTGATCTTATTTTCTATGGTATGCTATGATATGAGACGATTAGATCGGGTGTGTTGAGACCTAATTCCCAGATCTCGTCCAGACTCTCCCGAAAATCTCCCCCAGAATCTCCGGCAGCAGTGGTGGGGCCCCCTCAGATCTCCGGCAGCGGACCCCCCTGGCGAAATCTCCAAACTAATCCCCCGAGATTGGAAATCCCGGCCAAATCTCCAGCGAAATCTCCTGGAAGTCCCCTTCAGGTAGAAATCTCTGGCGAAATCTCCGGGAAAACTCTGGGAAGCCCCCTTCAGGTAGAACTCTCAAGCGAAATCTCCGGGAAGCCCCCTTCAGGTAGAAATCTCCGGCGAAATGTCCAGGACATTGCGCCCGCACGAGAATCTCCATAAACGGGATCCCAGTGGAATTTTACGGAATTCTATTGTAACCTCCCACAAACGGAGTCTTCCATAAAAGGATTCCTATTGAAATCTTCTATAACATCTTCCATAACAGGAATCCTCGTGTAATCCCCAATGAAAATCCTATTGAAATCCGATTGAGAATCCGATTGTAATCCTCCATAAATAGGAATCAGATTGCAATGCTGTACAAGAGAAATCCGAGTGTAAAACCCAAATGGGTTCCTATTGAAATCTTCTAAGTAAGGAATCCGAATGTCAGCCTTCACGTGAGGAATCGTATTGAAATCCGCCACCAAAGGAAACGTATTGTAATCCCCCACAACAGGAACCCTATAGTAACTCTTCACAAAAAGAATATTAGTGTATTGCCCCACAAAAGAAATGTTGTTTTCACCCAGCATAAAAGAATCCCCTTGTCATCTTCCACGAAGGGAATCCTACTGAAATCCGCCACGCAAGGAATCCCATTGTAGCCCTCCACAGAAGTAATCCTATTGCAATCCTCCATCAAAGGAGTCTTATTGTAGTTCCCCACACAAGGAATCCTATTGCAACCCTACACAGAAGCATCCTATTGAAACCCGCCACAAAAGGAATCCGATTGTAACCTCCCACAAAAAGAATATCAATGTAAGCCTCCACAACTGGAGTCCTATTGTTATCCTCCACAAAAGGACCCCACAGAAAGAATCCGTCCGGCACGTCCCGCGATACGCCCCGGCAAATCCCCAGGAATGGCTTCCTGTGGGAAAGGACAGTGTGCTGTCCGCCTCAACTGGTTGGGTCCCTTCCCCTGCTTCGGCACGGCCTCGAGCATCACCCAGATGACGACGGCCCGACGAAAATGGTCCAATACCGTTGGCCGCCAGTTCGAAGCACCAAGGGTTCGACCCCCTGAGACCTGAAGGCAGCCTTGCTGAATGAAGATCTGATGAATAACGAGGGTGCGTCTAGCAAATGTGCTCTCTCGTTTGACTGCCAGTGCGTGCTCGCTCCCTGTCGTAAGGGGCCCAGAGAAGAGGACACCCCCGGAGGGGGGACACTTTGTTAACCTCTCTGTCCCCGCCGCGTGGCCGATGCCACCGACCCCAGGGCCAAGGGGGGGAGACAGTTTGTTAACCTCTCTGTCCCGTCGTTGCACCACCGACCCCCCCTCAAAAAAATATCAAAAATGTGATCGAAGAGGGCCGGACTAACCTTTCAGGATGTCCCGAACGAGACGTTGAGCGACACGAGTGTGTGTGTGTGTGCGTTTGACATATGCATCGTTCATGTGGTCGGCTCTTACACCCAGAATGATTTTTTACATTGGTCGGGTTTTCACAATTCGTTATTCGATGTAGAATCGCGGCTCTGTATGTACGAAAACGTATACAAAGCAGCGAAATCACCCAGATGGGTGGGTCACCCGGGTGGGTGGGTCACCCGAGTGGGTGGGTCACCCGAGTGGGTGGGTCAACAGTGTGTCCCGACGCAATGACGATTGTGTGTGTGTTTTTACAGATGCATCGTTCATGTGGTCGGTTTTTACACCCAGGGGATGAATTTGTACATTGGGTTTTTCGTTTTTCGATTGAGAGTCGGGGCGCTGTATGCGAACACGTATACAACGCAGCGAAATCACCCAGATGGGTGGGTCACCCAGGTTGGGTGGGTCACCCGAGTGCCGAGTGGGTGGGTCACCCGAGTGGGTGGGCTCAGTGTGTGTCGACGCAATGACGATTGTGTGTGTGTTTTTCTACATGTGCATCGTTCATGTGGTTGGCTCTTACACCCAAAAAATGATTTTTAACATTGGGTTTTTACAAGTCGTTTATTCGATGTAGAATCGCAGCGCTGTACAGGAAAACGTATACAACGCAGAACACTCACCCAAGTGGGTGGGTCACCCGAATGGGTGGGTCATCCGAGTGGGTGGGTCACCAGTGTGTGCCGACGCAATGACGATTGTGTGTGTTTTTAAATGTGCGTCGTTCATGTGGTCGGCACCCAGGGGATGATTTTTTACATTGGGTTTGCACAATTCGTTTTTCGATGTGGAATCGCGGCGTTGTATATACGAAACGTATACAACGCAGCGAAATCACCCAGGTGGGTGTGTCACCCAGGTGGGCGGGTCACCCAGTTGGCCGGGTCACTCGAGTTCGTGGGTCACCCGAGTGTCACCGGTGTGTGCCGACGCAATGACGATTTTGTGTGTGTGTTTTTGCACATGCATCGTTCGTGTGGTCGGTTCTTACACCCAGAGAATGAATTTATACACTGGGTTTGACAATTCTTTTTTCGATGGTGGGTCACCCGAGTGGGTGGGTCACCAGTGTGCGCCGACGCAATGACGCTTGTGTGTGTTGTTACATATGCATCGCTCAGAATGTCGGCTTTTGCATCCGGAAAATGGAATTTTACATTGTGTTTTGACACTTTGTTTTTCGATGTACAATCGCGGCCCTGCACGCGACAACGTATACAATGCAGAAAAATCACCCAGGTGGGTGGGTCACCTGGTTGGCCCGGTCACTCGAGTGGGTGGGTCACTCGAGTGGGTGGGTCACCCATGTGTTCGACGCAATGACGATTGTGTGTTTTTACGTATGCATCGTTCATGTGGTCGGCTCTTACACCCAGAGAATGAATTCGTACATTGGGTTTTCACACATCGTTTTTCGATGTAGAATCGCAGCGCTGTATACGAAAACGTATAACTTACAACGCAGCGAAATCACCCAGGTGGGTGGGTCGCCCAGGTGGGTGGGTCATCCGTTTAGCCGGGTCACCCGAGTGGGTGGGTCACCCGAGTGGGTTGGTCACCAATGTGTGCCGACGCAATGACGGTTGTGTGTTTTTACATATGCATCGTTCGTGTGGTCGGCTCTTACACCCAGAGAATGAATTTTCATAGTGGGTTTTCACAACTTGTTTTTTCGATGTAGATTCGCGGCGCTGTATACGACAAAGTATACAACGCAACGAAGTCACCCAGGTGGGTGGGTCACGCGGGTGGGTGGGTCACCCGAGTAGGTGGGTCACCCGAGTGTGTGGGTCACCAGTGCGTGCCGACGCAATGACGACTGTGTGTGTTGTCGCATATGCATCGCTCAGAATGCCTGCCCTTGCACCCAGAGAATGAATTTTGACACTGGGTTTTGACAACTCGTTTTTCGATGTAGAATCTCGGCCCTGCATGCGACAACGTATACAACGCAGAAAAATCACCCAGGTGGGTGGGTCAACCGACATGCCAGGTCACCCGAGTGGGTGGGTCACCCGAGTGGGTGGGTCACCAGTGTGTGCCGACGCAATGACGATTGTGTGTGCGTGTGTGTTTTTACGTATGCGTCGTTCATGTGGTCGGCTCTTACACCCAGAGAATGAATTTTTACATTGGTTTTCACAAATCGTTTTTCGATGTAGAATCGCGGCGCTGTATACGTCTACAATGCAGCGAAATCACCCAGGTGGGTGGGTCACCCGGGTGGGTGGGTCACCCAAGTGGGTGGGTCACCCGAGTGGGTGGGTCAAGAGTGTGTGTGCCGGCGCAATGACGATTGTGTGTGTTTGTTTTTACAGATGCACCGTTCACGTGGTCGGCGCATGCACCTACAGTGGGTTTTCACAAGTCGTTTTTCGATGTAGAATCGCGGCGTTGTATACGAAAATGTATACAGCGCAGAAAACTCACCCAGGTGAGTGGGTCGCCCGCGCGGGTGGGTCACCCGAGTGGGTGGGTCACCCGAGTGGGTGGGTCACCAGTGTGTGCCGACGCAATGACGATAGTTTTTACATTTGCATCGTTCATGTGGTCTCGTTCCTGCTTGCCTGTCGTGTCTTGTTCCAAACTTGGTTCCAGGACTGTCTGTGGGAGCGCTCCACCTGGGTGCCCATGGGCGCGCTGTGCGTCGTTATCCTGACTCTGACTGTATTCCGCGTATTGTGAGTTCGCGTGGTGGTGGCGTGTGGCGGGGGGCGGGGCCGCTGCGCGTCGCGCCCCCGCCGACGACGGCTCCGCGCGCGCGGCGGCCGCGGGCCGCGG